ACCGATATATATTCACATCTTGAAATATATAACTCATAAAATCATAGAAAAATACTTAATAAATATAAAATCATGTCTAGAACACACTGGTGAAAAATGTTTGCAAAACAGACATGGTTCCAAAAAACTCACATGTATAAAGATGTATGAAATTCTTAAGACAAAAGAAACACTTTATTTTCTTATTTATGATGATTACAAAAATAGGTAAAAATATGCTTAATATATAATCAAGTTTGCTCTACAATCTAACAAAGATATTTAATAAATCGGGCATGAAACAAAACTACTAAAAATCAACAACTAAATCAAACATAAAAAACTTCAATAACATAAAATAAACATGCAAGAGTTACCAGATCCCAAAATCAAATCTCAACAAGTACAATAGTATATTGCAGTAACAGTCGTTGCAGCTCATTTGTATAGGTAAAATCTTGTCACGTGAAAAATCAAAAAACAATTTGTGGTTCTCGAGAGTAGTGCTAAAGCTGAATTTCAGTTCATATTCTTGAGGATCTGTGAAGCCCTCTGGTTACGTGTCATGCTCTGTGAACTTCGTATGTCAACCTCCGTCCTCCTGCAGTTATTATGTGATAAAAAGACCAGCATCAACGTTGCTCGCAACCTAGTCCAACATAATCATATCAAATATTAGGAGATTGACATACACTTCATTAAAGAAAAGATTGAGTCCAGAGAAATATGTGTTCCTTTTGAGCCCTCCAGTGATCAACCAACAAATTTCCTCACCAAAAATCTTCCTTACTTTTTATTCGATGACTTCAAATATATGTTGAACATGATTGACATCTATGCATCAACTTGAGGAGAGTATTGAATTTATGATTTCCATAGTGGTTACTATTTATTAATTACCCTTATTATGTATTATGTAGTTTTTTTATCTTTATTTTGATTTTATTTATTTGATTGTATTTTTATTTCCTTCTTTATTTGAGTTCATTGTAATTGGGTTTAAATACCTCTCTTTTCATCAATGAAAATTAAATTGTTCTATTCCAAAACTCAACATAACACAATGGGCAAAAATGATTCATGTAGCCTACTCTACTTAGTGGGATATAGGCTAGTTGTTGTTCTACAGGCATAACAAAGAAGCCATGTCATGCTCATTCGCAAGTTTTCAAATACCATATGAGTTCTTGTTCGGATTTGTTCTAATTCTTGTAAATTCATTTGACGCAAAATGTAGGATGATCCGAGCACCCTAATGAAGTAATCAAAATACTATAGAACACAATATGATCTTAATACGGCTATTATCATCATATGCAAATTTTACATAAAATAAACTAGGAGAAGGAAAACAACAAAATTAAACAGCATAAAAATGCATAAAAATTTTCAAGTTTGCATAGCCCATTGCCTATTCATCGCATGAGCAGGCATCTTCAACGATGATGCACAAAACTCGGACAAGCAATTACAAATAATTTGAAGGGGAATAGATTAGATTGTTTACCAAAATGGCATTATTCTTTATACTAAATTCAAAAAAAAAAAGAGTAGATTGTTTAGGAAAATGAGAAGTACAAAATTCTTACCTATTATAAAAATGCAAGGGTGAGAGTACTCCAAAAGGAGAACCCATTACTACAATCAAATCACCTCTATTTTGATGCTGCGATATTTTTAAACACAGACCATCCTGAAAACCATTCCAGTAAGTTATATGCCAATAGCTGTAATTCCAACTAAAATAATGAATGACAATGGAAAAACAAATTACATGTTCCCAGCCATTTATTGAGTCAAGAAAACTAAAGACTCTTAAGCGAAGACCAATATAGAAAGGAACTACCTTATTATCTGAAATTGAAATGCCAAGGAAAGCAATCCTTGTGGTCGACTTAGCCAGCAGAATAGGGTTATTTGACTCTTCCAAAACAATGCCCTTTCTAGACTCATCATTTACACCCTGAAAAAGATCAAAGAATAATTTCTTTCAATATAAGTAACACCAAAACTAGTTAGGAAATCAGCGGGAACACACAAAACAAACTTTTATTGATATTGGAATAGGGCTATAAATCGAAACAACTAGAAAGGAAACACAAACACAAACTAATCTTTGGCTAGGATCGGAAAAGGAGATCAGCGGGCGGTGGTGATGTCGGCGAAAAGGTAAGAATATGGTAAGGGTTGGTAGGGGCTGGTAGGGGTTGGTAGGTGACTAAGAGAGCTAGGGTGGCAAAGGTAATTGCAGGAGAGGGGGCGACAGGGTTTGGGAGGTGACCGGGAGGCTTGGGACAGCAAAGATAAATGCAAGAGGGGGCAATAGGGGCTGGGAGGTGACCTGGACACTTGGGACACCAAAGGTAAATGTAGGAGAGGTGGCAGCAAAGGCTCGGAAGGGGGTTAGGAGTGGCCGGCGGCTATGGGGAAGGAGAAGGGGGCTGGAAAGTCAAAAAGGGATAAAGAACCCACCACCTTGGAGTGAGATACAGCCTAAGCACCACCCGTTGTCAGATACAGCCCTAGCAGGGAGAGAAGAGGACTCCAACAACAATCTAAAGCACAAACAGCAAAGAACCAGCCCTAATTCTCTAAAAAAGGCATATATATAATCCCTACATGAAAGAAAAGCACTAAAAAGGAAAGGGAGGGAGCACAAGGCCGTTCGTCCCGTCAGAACGCTAGCCCAGGCTGCTCGGCGCCAGGATTTACTTGGACCAGTTCTCAACAGACAGGGTTGTCTGTCTGTGAACCGGTGTCGGACAAGCGGAAAGCCAGTAACGGGAAGGGGAAGCCCCGTGTAAATAAATCTACAAATTTTCATTATTTTCTTTGTTTTAATTAAAATATTTTATTTTTATCCATCCAAACAAAAATCAAAGGGCCAAAAATTAATTAGTATTAGAACAAGCCGATTCATCAAAACTCTATCTGGTTCGCCAGTACAACCCATGTTCTAAATGTTATATGCAAAAGCAATATTGAACTTGGATTAACTAGTCGAAGAACATGTTCATGATTGAACCGATCGGACTGCCCAGTACAATCCAATTTTTAAAACTATGACCAGGAATGATAACTAAAATTGAACTTAAATCTTAATAAAGGATAAAGAAAACATCAAAACTTTTGCGAACCTTAGCCCGTTTGGGATCACTTTTAGTTTTATGTTGTTCAATTTATGTTTTATTTTAAATTAAAATGTGTTTGGTAGTGTAGTTATTTTTAAAACACTCAAAACATAAAAATAAGCTGATTTATTTTAAAAAATAATCTGTGTGTGTGTGTGTTATACTAACCAAACATGTTTTAAAAATAAAAAAACAAAAATAATGTCAAACGGTCCCTTAATCAGCGCACCGCATAAAATCATCAGCCTAAGTATAAATTGATAAAGAAAAAGATAATATCCTATATACACAATCATCAAGAAGTGATAAAAAAATCAGAAGGCATTTCATCACTCCTGTAAAGATTATGTAAGGATATCACACAAAAACTAATATTTAAAAAACTAGCACGTGAACATGATAATCCATTAATTACACTACTTGATTCAAAACCATCAAATGACAGCCAAATAGCATTAAATACAACCGAAGTCATGAATGTTTGACAACTGAATTCTAAAAAGTATAGGAGATTAATAAATAGCCCAGAAAGCTTCATATAGCCTCTAAAGGAAAATGCATGGCACTTTGATGAGTAAAAACATAAAAAATTAATTAAGCAGATTAAATAGATTAGAAACAAAATTTTAGGAAACTATCTAAATTAAAATTAAAAAAAATGGTTAACTAGCAACAGAAAGGAGACTTAAGATTTCCAAGAACAGCAAGCACAATTATCAATATTAAAGTAGTCTTCTCAAGGTGTAAATGTCGACCAATATACTGACTAAAAACTGGTAATAAATTGCACCATATCTTCGTATATTAATCCAGAAAAAGTAAACATAAGACAGCCTTATGCTTGACTATACTACCTTTCTTTTTTTACATAAAACAAATCGCATGAGAGAATATGATCTAAACCAAAAAGAGACCGCACCAAAAAAAAGGGGGAATATTAACATACATAACACTCAATTCATTCCTATGTTAACATACATAACACTCAATTCCTATGTATTTACATATCTAACATTTAAGCTTCAATTTTTACATACCTACCATCTTACCTATGCATGAAGCATTTCACTTTATATAAGTCAAAATGGTGGTACTTTTGATGTGATTTGAAAGATTTGGGCAGTGCAAAGATAAAAGTTGAAGTTTAGGTGTTAGATATATAAATGCATAGAAATTGGGCGGTATGTATGTGAATGCCCACAAAAAATGAAAGTGATTAACTTAACCTCTTTTTCAAATCCATCTAACTCTGAAGTTTGCGTACTATTGAAGGGAGCCAATGACCACGACGCTTCGAATGAAAATCGGCCTCCAATCACTGACAGGAGCGCATCGGAAGTAGCCGGGACATCAACCTATAAAGGAGAAATAGAAAATATAAATAATTCTAATAACTGCAAGAAAAAAAACTATTTGTGCTAAATAATAATACTAATGATTTAAAAAATCCAAAAAAGGCAGTTAAGAAAGTGTAATAGCATGGTCAAGCTAGAAGAGAGATAGATCAATACCCTTAAACTCCATATATTAAGAAAATAAATTAAAAAAAAAGCATACACTATTTTGAATATGAAAAATTGAAGTTATTTTTTTTAAATTAACTAATTCCTCTATGATATTGTCCAATAAGAAATTTAAGTTCTACAGTTTCGTAGGGGTGATGATTTGCTAACTATAATGATATAGTTCTAGGACTCCTAGAAGGTATTTTGAAAGGAGATTTAATGAGGAGTGATTGTGAAATGGCAAGGGGAAGACAATAGGATACAGCATTTGGAAGAGGATAAGCATCGTACGACGGCTGTCCTAGCTAAAATCAGCAAACGATAGCATCAAAACAATGAAGTACTGTTGTCGAGAAGGTTCGTCACCAGTTCCTGCACAAGCTACAGATGCATCACTTGCAAAAGTAAAAGAATACAACACTCTATTAGGGCAGAAATCATAGATTCCATCTCTAAAACACACAAAACAAATCAAAATTGTCCAAACCAAAAAAAAATGACATAAAAAAAGTTCCCTACTAGAAAAAACCTAATTGAAAATTAGGAAAATAGAAAAGAAATCAAAAAAGAAAAATAAAAGATGGTAAAATTCGAGATTCGACGCCTTCTGTCCCGATCCCATGATAAGGGATTGTTCGCAAATCTTCCAAAATCACACGATTTCGTGAACTCTTGCGTCACTCGCATCCTCCGCATACCGCGTCCCGCGTCATTCTCCCCAAGTAGGAGCTTTGTCTTCTTCCCGAGAAGCTTTTGGAATTGATCCACCACCACCATAACAAAATCATCATCTTGATATGTCTAAGAAAGTCTCACTACAAAATCTATGCTCACGTCCATTTCATGCCAACTCGAAAACACATGCATTACAAAGCATGTCCTAATATAATAAATAGCCATCATTTTTTAACACAATCAGAACTGTAACTGCATATAGAAAGGTACTCCCATGATTCAAGTCTCGAGTCATTAAATATATAACATGCTTATGCAACTTCTCATACTCGGTTGGTCGCATCTCATAAACAATTTGGTTTGGTAGAACAAATATTACAATGAGATCTATAGCATGTTAAATTTCTTCTCCTTTTTTGATATCGACACCTTAGACTGACTACCACTAGAATAACTAGTGTTTCTTCCTCATCGACTAGAAGTTAAGATTCCTCTATGAAATCTTCATCCTCTTCTATCACACTGTCCATTTTTTTAATTGCTTCCTGCTCAGTGAAAAAAAATATCCTCATGTTTGGACATTTGGAAAATCATGCGTCACATAGCCAAAATCGTGGCACTTGAAGCTTTTACTGGCTATGATGGAGTTGGGAGTACTGGCAGGCTCTACCTTTTCTCCATTCTGAGGAGTTTCTCCTCTGATTGGGTCGGCTTGGGTGCTCCACTGGGTGTAAGCTTGTTGCCTGGTCCAACGATTAAACTTTGTTTGGAGGGAGATGTGGACATATTAGTGTTGTGTTGTCTCTCAACCTTCAAAACTAGGGTATGGATATTTTAGAATGTCTACTAAGATTGTAGTTATACCACATTACTAATGGACAATCTTAATACTCTCAAATATCGAGCTATTGTGCTCTCCACAGGCTCTATTAGGTCACACTTCAACATAAATTGGTCAAACTCAACTATGTGCACCTCCACAGAAGAATCTTTCTAGCGCAAGTAATGAAGTCTTATGAATATATATTATTTGTAATGCAAGGAAAGGTATTTGTGTTTCGCCTCTCATTTCATCTTGGATCATGTGGTAATATTACCCTTTCCTTCCAACTGTCAAAGTTGCTTCAGGTTCTCCCACCTTAATGAAGCGTCACTTGAGCTTGATGATCATAAATTTAACTCTAGTCCTAAGAAACATTCTAGCTCCATTGTTTGAAGTTAATCAAAAAAATAATCTTGAAAAATGCGGCCGTCAAAATCTGATAAATTCACCTTCACTCCAAGATCTTGGCTTCTCTGATAGTCCATGTTGAATCGAGGTAGTGATTCTTTGTACTAGAAACAATATGGTGAAAGGGGTTGGATTCCTTCTCTCGATATGACGAGTCACTGTGGTGGCTATGGATGACCTCATCAAATTTTCTTTAATCACAAACAGCAAGCATTTGTTGTGGTTAATTTATAGATTTCTATTTGCATGTCTTCCATCATACGCTCCTGGATACGTCTTTCGGGTGAAATTTTGGAGGTAGGAGTTGGTTTTTGAAACTTTGGATTGGGGCTAGGAATTACGGTATGAATGATTTGGGTATGGTAGAATTTCTTTTTGAAATTTTGAGAATTTTGAATTGGAACAAATAAAGAGAGCCCGACAAAAAATTTAATGACAGTAATATGGAGCTTTTCAGCTCTAGAACGTTGGACCTTCCTCAGGAGAAGCCACTCAGAATGTAGGTTATATTTTAAAATTCTAAAATTTCCTTATTTAGGATTGTCATGTGTCTGGTGTCAATTTCGCGAAACAAAAACTCACTTGGACAACCAATGTTACTCCAGTTGGAGCTCTCTCATCGGCTCAGATTGAATGATATGCATCTCTTCCTCATCAGTTGAAAGCAGGTACTCCTTTGGGTCATCACCTTCTTCAATATTTACTGTGTCTATGAGTTGAGCTTGAGCAAGCCCGAGCCTGGGCTTGTTTTCGGCTCGTTTAAAAATATTGTTGTTAGTGTTCAACTCGTTAATATATCAAGCGCAAAAAATTTGTTCGTGTTTGACTCGTTTGCTTAGCGAGCCAAGCATGAGTTGTTCGCAAACGAGTCGTCTTGACATTCCTAGTCACGCAGTTGTTAAGGTTAGGGGTGAGATTTAAATCTTATTATTTACATAAAATATTTATTTAAATAGAATTTCATATATTTTATTCTAATTTAATTAATAATTTTAATTGATTATAAATCCTTATCTTTGTAGTCTTATCGCCAATTAAATTATTTTAAAATAATACTCATCAATATATATATAATTATTTCAAGTCAAAATGAGTCGAGTACGAACAAACAAATCTTTATTAATGTTTGGATCATCTGCTTAGCGAACGAATTGAACACAAGCTATTTAACGAGCCGAACAAGAACTGTTCATGAATGAGTCGTTTTGACTCCCTTAACTATGTCATCGTCCATTTCTTCAACTGCTCTCTAGTTAGTAAAATAGCTCATACTCTTAGTTAGGCAATATAATGCACTATACCCAAAATCGTGGCACTTGATGCACTTCCTGGTTGGGACAGATTTAGAAATACTGGTTAGCTCCAAGTGTTCTTCACTTTGAATTAGTTTCTCCTCATATAGATCGGCTTGGATGTCCAATTGGGTGTACTCGTGTTGCTTGATCATTAGATTGAGCTCTATTTGTAAGATGTGGTGGTCACCCGATAATGTTGCCTTCAAAACAGGTTTTGTCTGCAATGAACTGATAGATACTTGTGATGCATCTCTCGTTTCATCATGGACTAGGTAATGATACTGTTTTTCCCTTTCTATTGGCATAGGTGATTCATTTTTTTTTCACCATAGCAATGCGCGGTATTTTAACTTGATGGCGACTGACTTTATCATTCTATCTGGTTGTAGGTCTCGATACTCAAAGACATGTTCCACTGTTAAGGGCTACTCGATGAACTCATCTAAATACATGTGGCCTTCAAAATATGGCAAATCACTCTGCACTCCAAAATTTTGGCTTTTCTTCTAACATTATATATCAAATTTCTGGCATATTTGTTCTTCAGCACTGGAAATTGCTTTGTGAAAGCTATTCACTTCATCATTTCAATCTGATGAATCACCCTTGTGGCTACAAATGACCTTTTTAGGTTGTCTCTTCTCAAGGCGGCAAGTCTCTATTATAGTTGAAGAATGTCCCGCTGCACCTCTTCCAAGGTAGGTGCTTGAACTTCTCTTTGCAGATTTCTCATAAGCAGCATTGTGTCATTTTCTGCCGATCAGATTTTAGATAATTGTCTCCTCAGTGGCGTGACTAGGGTTTAGGTTTGGGATGTAGAAGAGGGTGTACAAGGGATAGGAAAGAAAACTTTTTGGGGGTTGATTTGAAAATTCAACAAAGGGACGGGTTTTTGGGTGGAGATTGGGTTATGTATTGGTATATTTAGATAACCTTATGATAGAACCAGAATTAAGCTAGCTCTGATACTAAAAATACCGGAGTTTAACAAAACAACAATAGAAAAATTAAATATTATTGATGAATTCAAATAGAAAGTTAAAACCACATAGCAGAAATAGAAAATAACAACAACACAACACACAAACTCACATTAGAGTTTGATCCATGGTTAACGGTGGTCAGTTATCAGGAATGAAAGGGGTGGCAAGTGGTTGGGATGACGATATGGGCAATGGTGGATGGCAGTAGCAACAACAAAAAAGGTTTTGGGCTGCGGTTTAGGGATGACAACAAGTATGAGGCGACTGGGCAGCAGGTAGGCAGCGATTGAAGATGGTAGGTGTGCCTGAGAAAGTTGGTTGTTGCAAGAAACAACAAATGAGTGGTTGGCTGCTGGTTTTACAGGAGGACGAGAAGGAGGGGTGGTGGTTGGGAAAGGAAAAACTACCGGAAAAAATAACAAACACAAATGCCATGGGCGAATACAGCAGGGAAGGAGCGACGGGAAGAGGCGAGAAGTGATGGGGGAAGGATGTGGAGGGTTTAAGGGAAATAATCATCACCTCGAAAGTGGAATAGAGCCGGAGCACCACTTGACCGTTGGATACAACTCTAGAAGAGAAAACCTACGACTCCGACGATCGTCCCAAGTAAAAACATGATAAAAATGCCAACCTAAACACGATAAAAGCAAATAAATAGCACTAGGGTAATTAGGAGTGGTCCCCTTTCATAAGGAGGTGGTAATCCCAAGCAAGGAGGGTCCAGATGCGGGAGACGCCTACTTCCTTTTATGCCCCACATCACATTGACTTCATGTTGATCCACTTTTTCAAAGTTCCTAATTAGGCCCCTTGGTTCAACTATATGCTCAAAATTCGTCCTTTCATGATGGATGCATTAAAAAGTTCTCAAAATTCATAAAAGACACTTATAAGCTGAGTTAAAATGTAAGATAGCAATAAAAAATATAATAATAAAGATGTAAAATGCAAGTTTAATGCAAACATACCACTGCCAACAGTTTAGCTGGAAGCCATTCAGGAGTTTGATCGGGTCCTCCATCGCCATTATCAGCCTTGTTTCCCTAAACAAGCATGAACAACGGAAAAAAATCTTAAATGGAAACCTTCATCATTTAGATTGCACTTATCGCTTACCTCCACAAGAACATCTATACATGTATCATGAATCAACCTAGGAGAAAGTTCCAGCACATTTCCAGCATGAGACTTGCAAAGAAAATTTACATAAAGAACCATCAATAATTAAACCGTTGATAGTTTGAAAATCACAGAATAAGTTTCTTCGTTTAACCTGGGTAAGTTTGGATCTATGTTCAGCAATAAGGAATGGCTGAACAACTGATGCAGCTGTTATAACTACAGCACCTGAAAATTGATGAGTCTTTAAAATGTGTTCCATGATCCTCGGGATTTGACCAAGTGAACTGGCAAAAAGTAGAAGGCCAGATGCAGAAATAGTAGTCTTTCCTGATCTGAAAAACCAATCAATCAGAATATCCAAATTGACAGCGGATATGCAATGGAAAATCATTAAAATTCATCATGTACTAGATCCATCCATGATTCTTATAAAATTACAAAAATCTGTGTTTTGAATTAAGGATCATCAAGCTGAAGATATTATCAATGGAGAATAAATATACATTATCCAGCTACTCATGAACTCCACAAATGTTCATAGACTTGTTAGTTGAACTTAGCTCAGTGCTTGAGTTCAGATACTACACCAAATAATCAATGACAAATAACTAAAAAAGCTTCTCCTAATTCTATTGGATTTTTCGGTTAAGTTTAAGTGTCAAGTTTTCATTGCAAAAGCTAATCTATATCAACTTCAGAAAACTCCATTGATAAGTTTTATGCACAAATACACACAAAATCTCAACTGCAAATACGGGAAATGTCTTAGTTCAAAAATATAAAATATAAAAAATTAATTTAGGGCCGCATGCACATAAATGACGTCTTTGAAAGCTTTATTTCATGAAACCGCCAGTACTGGGAAACCAAGATCAATGATAAAAGAAAAACATTCTCAGACAAGTGTGGAATAACAATTAAAGGAAAGAAAAGGGACCAAATAGTTCCTAACTATTTGTGAGAGATCATTTTAGTCCAATATTAAGCCTAAATCCCAATTAGTACCAAACAGGGACCAAATCCAAATTGGAGGTTAAAGCTGATGGCAAAGCCATTGGATCATCCTAGAGCTCAGGGAGAAATGGAGAATGCACAACTCTTAAGGTAAAATGGGTTTTTTCCTTACTGCTAATATTGTTACCTTAGTAAAGACAGGATAGGGGAGCGCAACGCACGAGATAAGGTTGGCTCGAGAAAGGACGAGAACAGCTGCATGCAGGAGACTACCCTGCACACAGAGAGTAGCAGAAAAGAGCTTATCCACCCACATCTGCACGCTTGGAGACTGCCTAGTGGTCAACCACAGCGTACCCAAGCAGCATAAAGGCTTCCCCAAGCAAAAGATATGAAGAGGAGCGGATGACGCTTTCCCAAGGGCAGTAATAAAGAGAAGCAAACAAAGCTTCCCAAAAAACAATGATAGGCAATTCATTGTTAGTTTTTTTCTTTTTTTTTCCTTCTAATATGAGGTATTTGACATATTGAGAATACTGTTATAGGTGCAAATCAAAACAATGTACGAGCAGGGAATCAAAGAAATTTGTTTTCTCCCTTAAAGGTAATTTTTCCAATCCAATGGCGATTTCTTTTTAAGTTTGGGATATTGTGTAAGAGAGTTATCATGTATTACTGTCATAAAAAAGCATCTAAAACTGAAGTACAAGATACCTAAACTTTAAACAGTTGACATACATTTTCGTTCTTTCTAAGTAAACGATTTCAATAAAAGTAACATAAAATTTTAAAACTTTAACATTCAGGGGAAAAAAAAGCCTTGATGTATTCCATCAAAGTTGAATTAAACTAACAAAAAATATTTATTTATTACAAAAATCAATTTGTTCTGCAGTATACGCAATCTCAATTCACTCCCAGCGTCAGTGAGTCAGAGTTGTATATGAGGAAATAAACTAAATAGGAAATTAGATTTGCTAAAAACATTCAAAAAGAAGATATATATTCCAAAAAAAAACTTATTTTCATACCATTAACTTCAATTTTCATTTATTTAAATTCATTTATTTAAATGAATGGAGATTTTTTTTTTTTCAATGGCTTAGAAACTAAATTGAGTCCTTCATATAGTCTAGAATCATTTTGGTTCTTTACAAATAGTAGCGGGATCATTTTGGACCTTTTAACTTGAAAGAAAAGCAAAAATTTATAAGTTATTTTCACCTTCAAATGCTAAAGGGGGCCACCTTGCACTTGCTCCCCACACAAATTTCATCACGAAGAAAAAATAAGTTCGGAGTTCACAACTTTGCAGCCTTCTAGATAAAAAGCCAGAGGACCACTTAAGTAATATTGTGAGAGATGAGAAGGGTGAGTGAGAGAGAGCTTCTCTTCATTGTTTCTATATAGTGTTTCTGTACTTTTCTGAAACACTTTCAATGCTTAAGCAGTTCATGCCTCCCAACCCTTTTACAACTCCCTTCACTTGCCAAACTTTGTATCCTCAAAGGAAGTCCGTGTTCTTATCATCCAAAGATAGACAATATTCCTATAATTTTCAAGAAAAAAGGAATCATGAAGAAATACTGAAGACTAGTCTATATGGACTTATATAAAACTGAATAAAGAGCCAGCCAACCACGACAATAGCCCAGGAGATTGACTCAGCCCTATATGGTGAAAATATGGGCATGAAACATACGTCACATGCCCGGGCTCCATTGTCTAAAATTCCTAGCATTTAGGCGCCCTCTAAACATCCGCCAATGAGATCCACCGCCTGTGGATCCCAAAAAGGAACACTCCTTTTGCAGACTATCATGATGGTAAACACCCTAGAGTGTTCTCTTCTCCTCAAAAGATGAGGGAAATCCCTTCTTAGGGTTCCTTTTATGACTTTTAACATTAGAATAAATAAAGAAAAAAAGTCAAGTCAAATTTATATGGCCAATGAAATTATGTACGTTAATCAATATTAGAAGTTCCTAAAGGCATCACAAAGGTTTTAGATAAAGAAGAAGAAGAATCGATGGATATTGAAATTATATGTATGGTCAAACAAGTTGGCAGACATCTAGTATGTACATTACATACTCAAAAGCATATGTAGCTGCATCTACCTCTCACTTACAGGGTTAACCTCTTCTAAAGCCTCAAGATCAAAGTTAACAACTTGAGCCCTCTTTGTTTGGTAGTGAAGAAAACAAAAGAGAGAAAGGATGTTCTAAGCGATATTTCCTTAGCCCAATGCACATTAGTAAAAAAACTCAAAACATCATAACCTCAATATATGTAAAGAACTTCGTGAGCAAAGGTTGTTCATATTTGTAAAGTGTGAACAAAGAGTATCCAAAACTGGATTCGACTTCAAGACCATACACATTCAATGTGAATGACAAGAAAGGTACCATTTGACCCAATTTAAGACAACTTATGCAAAAAAATTGGGCGAATAAATATCGGTTATTCCAATGCATTAATAACCTCATTAGGTTGCTTTTGATGATGAGCTCTCTAACAAATCAATCAAAATATTTGTTGAGCTGCAAAGCCTCCTATGACTAACGTTGTGGTAGAGAAATGCAAAAGGTAGGAATCAAAGGCAAGAAAATTACCTTTTGGCATAATATGAGAATGAAGTACAACAATAAATGGAAAAAGAGCAAGTTGTTCAGCTTTTGACAGAGAATGCAAATGATTTGAAGGCCGGCCCTTATGTGTGGACCAGATTATGACTTTTCAATGGACCAAGTGATTAAATTTATAAATCTAAACTTGTAATAGTTGGATCCACCTTGAGAAGTCAAAATGCAGTAAGCTCCATATGCCAAGAAAAGTGAGTGCATATCACGTTTCATAATATCGATAAGGGAAAGTGAGTGGTGGCTAATCAATCCAAGCCTCAACAAAAGCTCACACTTGGTGGAAACAATCTATCTATGCCCACTCCCATGGGAAGCGAGAAATTCAAGCAAGCTACAAATCGTGGAAGCCACAACTTTCAATCTCTCCAAAATAAAATAAAAAGAATACTCATTTCAAGTAATAATATGAAGAAATTGTTTCATCAAGCGCTCAAAGTGTATTTCAAGTTGCCAGAGTCTATGAAGCCAAAGAAGTTGATAAAACCTCTTATCCCAATTACTAACCATATCAAGGGGTAATCATTCATTCAATTAAGCCTTGTTATACCTTAAAAGACTGACTAAAGAAGAATAAGAAAGGGGAAATTACACTATTCTGAAGCCAACACAAAAAGAGACAACGTAGAAAGATCCTTCTTAAGATGACAAATAGGAGACAATCATAAAAAAGAAAGCAAAGGATTACCATAGCTGGGCGCTCATTGTTAATGGAAATCTCTAACCATGCATGTTCCTCAGCTCAAGGTAAATCAGAAACAAAGTGCTTCTAATTCCAAGTCTGCTCAACAAAGAAGTAAAATCCATCAACAATCTAGTGGATTAGAGCTTGCATGGCAACATGCTAGGCTCATTTATATCTAAATTTGGATAAATGATAAGAAAATGTTTAAGAACTACTGGTTTAAATGGGTAAGGTTATCTCTAAAGTTTCAATTATTTTCCAACAAGTCCCTTCTCTAGCATGTGATAGGGGATACAGGGAAATAGCATCGACAAACCATGAAACTTTAACTGGGTCAAGATCAGTGGTGGTTCCAGCCAAACACTTGATAAACCATGGCCTTCATGAGATAACACCTCTAGCAGCACCATCATTTACATATACTCTCAACAATCTCTCCAACATCATTCTCAAAAAATGGAGAAGATCGTCCATACAGTCCGACACAAGGTCCTACAATAGGTGACACGTTAAAAAATATATTGTACTTCACACAAAAACAATTTTTAGCCTCAACTCAAATTGAATATGGGATGTGTAGAACTGAGAGGTGATTTCAAAGCCTCAAATCCATCCTCCAAGATTGCCAGGGGGATAGATTTTGAGAGGTATTCCTCTTCAAAGCAATCAAGATCAAAGGAAGTAGCCCAAGTTCAGCTAGGAAGTGAGAGTTCAAACTCCTCAGTAAAAAATGCATCTATCTGCCAAAGATAAAGGTAAGATGACCATGTTAAATGAGGATATCTTTCCTTCATCGAAATAGGCTGCAACCAAGGGAATCAATGAACTGCATTGTCCTCTCACATTTGAAGAACATACATAAGAAAATTATATGAAGCTCTACTAATGTTTAATGATTCCAAGAAGCTCCAATTAAAGCTCCTCAGCATCCAGAAAAAAAAAACAAAGGATATTTTTGCTAATTGGTGCATGATTGAGACCCTCCATGCTAAAAAAAAAATCAATATAATTTTCTCATAAAATCTATCTATGTGGATCATGGAACATGATAACCCCCTTTATGTCCCCTACAAAAATAATGGCATTCAAATAAAATGGATTTTAATCAATTTAGGCTAGAAAATCAACCTGAGAAGTGTGTGAGCATTGAGATTAATCACATTCAACACTCAAAATCTTTGAAAAATGATTTATCTAATATTAGATGCCACAATAACTCCTCTCATATCCCATCATACTAGAATCTAAATATCATTTAAGTCACTTCCAATAATTTTTTTTTCAAGTATAACTTGTAACAATTCATCAATCTCCTTGCAAAATTAATTTTTCAAACTATTTTTCAATTCAACAAAAGAGGAATACACTCTAACGACATTCTTTGCCAATAATGAAGCAAAAAGTAATTACCATATCAAACCAATAATTTTATCTTTCAATACTCTATTCACACTACTATCATAGACACATTTCTATTCTCAATTTGTAACCGTCCTCGCTATCACTAGATTTTTTCTCCTCTTTTATTTAGCTTCCTACAAACAAGTAAAGTCCACCAAATCTAGTATCTTCCCAATCAAAGTCTCAAAATTTCATATGGAAAATATAATCAATATTTCTTTCTAGTATATATTTGCTTACTTTTAACACAATTGGGTTAAGTTGTAGCATGTCATTCACAGGTGCGTCCTAGCTCCACGTTACCAACCTTTGACAAAAATTGGGTGAAGTTATAGGGTGTCACTCTCAAGTTATGAGCTAAGAAAACCTCACATAATTCTCATGATAATTGTGCCACATTGTGGGACATCGTCTCCATGGAGCACTCTAGCACTAAACAAATTCAGATTTTGATTAATTCACTAGTTTCAATAGAAATTTTATGATTGTTTGTCAAAATAACATCAACCTTTAACTGTTCTATGTTGAGCACGTAAGTTTTAAGAGTGTTTATCAACCTAATATCAAGCCTTAACCATTTTCATCCGAGCACAAGACCTTCAGTGGAAATTTTAATTAGTACTATAACTGCTTAAAGGTTTTAAAGAGTAAAATAAGCTATTGACAAATAGTTTTTAATCACTGAAATATCCATTTTTGGGCTGAACTTTAGCTTCTTAAGATTGATAAATCCTCCAAATGAAATCAATGTAGAGTTGAACAAGCCTTAATAGTAAAAGGGAAAAATGAATGAACTTCATCAATATTAACATTAGTGTAGTTCGAACAATGCATGTTGTTTCACTTAGTATGTGTTCAAGAAATCAAGATAAAATAAAGAGTAAATTCCAAAGTACTATACAAGTAAATATCAAACTTTAAGCGTTGAATGTGTAAATACATATGAATTATGGGGTATGTATATAAATCCCAACCTTTTTATATATTCCAGTATATTTATAATGTTTTCAATACGAAATATTATTTAATAATTCAGAAACTATTTCCGCATGGATAAAATATACCTTGAAAGAAAGTGCTCATGGAATTCCTCCAAGTCATAGAAGCATGCAAGCACCTACATCTATCTTTTTTCCAATAAAATTACTCGAAGTTAAAAACAATAAAATCCTACACCCAGGGTTTAACTCATCCACTAAATAGATTCAGAAGTAAAAGTCAAAGCAATGATATGTACATGGTTAGTTATTTCTTACCGGTGAAGATGAAAAGCATTTCTTCGCATTTTCAGCCCTTTCGGATCCTAAAAACAATAAAAAGTTGAGCCAACAAGAAAATAACACCAAAAATGAGGAAAAAAACAGAGCATAGAGATACAAGGATCGTGATGAAAAAGGTGGGCAATCGGAGGATTTGTAGTACTTACAGGGCCCTGAACCCTAACCATCACCGAGAAATTTCGGGCGAATTTGGCGATTTCCGGCGCCTCCATCCCTCTCTCTTCTTCCCTCAGCACAGAAGCATCGTATCGGAGGGAGACGGCAAGTGAAGCTTTTGGTACCTATCAGAACCCGAACGATGCGTGGCCGACTGGCACCCGGGTCAGTGAAAACTTGAAAACTATAGAGAAATTTACGCATATTCTGCATAAATTTATGTATTTATGCACAAACGTCTAAATTTTTAGATTTACATATTCAACACTCAAATCTTTTAACACTGACAAGCCTTCAAGAAATTTCTTTCTTTAGTACGAATCTTGAAGCCTAGCACAATTCTAAAAATAATCTTTTGAATAAAAAATATTTGAACATTAATAAAAATTCATCCAGAGATTCGATGTTGGCAAATTTAAAGTCAAACTGACCAGTTTGACAAGTCGTTTGTTTTAATCTAAATAGATCAAATCATCATACCACTTTTTGAAGCTTTTCGAGCATATTTGGAATGTCAAACGGATGTTAAATTTGTTGAGCTTATGGTTAAATTAAATGTCTCGGCAAGACAAATCAAAAGAGTCTAAGTTCTTTCAATTCTAACATTATTAAAACACTCATATGTTTATCAAACGTCATTTAATCAAAGGAAACTTCGTGGGCTGTCCCATTAAAGTGGTTCATATTCATGCATTGATTGCACCTGGAGCTCTATAAATAAGACCTTACTCCTCTTATGAGAGTAGAAAAGAGCTTGAGGCTTGAGAAAGAGTTGAAGCTTTGAGAAAGAGTTCGACACTGTCTTGAACTCTGAGACACTGATCCCCCACTTCATTTCTCAATGATGTACATCATCCAGCTGGGGATGGAACTTTCTTTGCATCTTGAAGATCATCCATGTAGCATTCTTCAATGTGGGGGCCAACATTCACTGCAGTTTTGAAAGGTCATTCATGTCAATGTCCTAGGTAAGATTGTAGTGGGGTTATCTTCTCGTTTTTTGTTCAGATACAAAGTATTTAACAACTTCTTCTAGACTTGTGGCAACCTTCACTACAATCTCGAAAAGTTATTCACGTTAACGTCTCGGGCACGATTGTGGTAGTACTGTCATCTCATATTTCGTTCAGACAACAAGTCTTTAAAATTGCTACTAGACAGGGGACGTCATAAATAACACTTGATAAGCGCCCCCACCGTATTGGAGTTCCTCTTGAACTAGATCAAGAAGTTGATCTCTTCAAAACTTGATGTGAAGATACGATATCCCTGAAAGTCGAGCCCAAGAAATAAGACTCGATGAAAAGTTATCATGTCCCTAAAAGTCATGCCCAAGAGATAAGACTTGATGAGAGGATATGATATCCCTAAAAGTTCAGCCCAAGAGGTAAGACTCGATGAGAAACTACCATTCCTATGAAAATCGAGCCAAAGAGACAAAACTCAATGACAAGATATAACATCTCTAGAAGTCGAGCTCAAGAGGCAAGACTTGATGGGAAGTTCCACTTAAAAATTTATGGTGTCTTTACTCATTGTTTCTTTCATCTGAGCGTGATTAATTATTGTATAACACTAAGACAATAATTCATTACTCTACTGCCACGAATCTTTTAGCATGCATCAAACACTACATAAAAAATATTGATATTATTAACTTTTAAATAATAAAAAATTATACTTGTACGCGTAAGTTAGGAAGCTAAAGTATTATTAATTTAATAATAGAAGTTTAGATGTAAAATATGTAAATTCATAAGAGTTGTGTGTTGTTGTACATACATTTTAAGAAAAATGAGGCCAATTAAACATCTAACCTTTAAATCTTAATTATATATCAAATTAATATTAATGAAATTTTTTAATTAATGAATTCATATATTTGTACATACTATAATGGAAGTATTGAGAATTTATGTAAAAAATAAAAGAATATATTAAATTTAATTATGCATATTGATATTTGAATGAAAAAAATAAAAGTTAGTAAAATGTTTGTTTTATTAATAGTTAATATTTAAGGTTTAAATATACAATTGCCTCAAAATTAATATTTAATAATAATAATAATCCTGACATTTTCATAAATAACACTCAATTCTGGATTATCTAAAGCAAATATTTTTCTGTCATCATTTTTTAAATTCTCATTTAAATATCAAAATTTACAACAAAATGTGGCCTCTTATTTTAAATTTGGTAAATTTACATACATACCACACAAACCTCATATTGACATATCTAAAACCAACATTTTTAATATTTTAGTGTTATAAACTAATGCACGATAAGATAACTACAAAAGTTTAGATATTAGATACATAAATACATAACAATTATGTGTCAGGTTTGTAAATGCCCCTTAAGATTTTGTCATGCACATTTATGTAAATTTGACATTTCAAAAAGTGGTACAGACATTAGTTTTGTAAATAATGATAATTTAGATATTGTATGCATAAATAAAAAAAAGAAATTATAGTGTCACTCATCGAGCAATTCCTAATTCATTTGATCATAGTTTGCTTACAATGCTCCTTCAGCCTTCTCCTTCAGGTTCAGTCCCCCATCATGAAGATAGTGGGAGTCTATTTATAGAATTTCGGAGTACATCTAATTAGAATTCAAAATCTAATATTTGCATTTAGTTCTGAGAAAATGGCTGAAGTAGTTGATTTGAGGGTCATGCATGTAATATCATTAATGTTTGGGTGTTAGATACATAAAGACATAATAGAATTATGAGGTATGTGCGTACATGCCCCATTTTGAAAACAACAGCAGCTTGAAAGTCCATATCTGCACTCCTTTATTTTGCCTGAAGGCAGGGTTCATCTCAATCAAAAATAGAACATTACAGCAGTGAATCCAGAAAACAAAAACCCTACAAAATAATTCATTTTGCAAGTCTCCAAAACAAAATGCAATTATGCAGATGAAAGATAACAACCAAATCGTTATAATTTTTAGAACAAAGACTGCTAAATGAGCAGCAGGAAAACAAAAATTTGAACACAGGTAATGTGTGTTATGTCTCCCTCCGGGACCTCCTAGGCCTTGCTGCGCCTGCATCTTCTTTCTCTTTCTCATCTTCTTCTTCTCTTTCAACACTGCTGCTTCCTGATCCATCCTCTTTCTTTTCAGTACTTACAGTCTCAGTCTCAGGTGCGGGGGGAGCTTTTGGGGGCTGCTGTAGAGAGGATTATTTTTATTTTTATTTTTATTTTTATTTTATTTTTTACAGATATATCTACATTTATGTGCATAATCAAGAAAAATAAAGAGGTGAAGAACATACCGTAGCTTTCTTCCCACCAAAAATAATCCTGGAGATGAGTGTGGTAATGACCACAAGTATTGAAACCAGGATTCCAATGGTGACATTAGGTTGTTTCTCACCCTTCTCAATTACATCCTAAAACAGTAAAGCAGTAACGTTCGGAAATAAATAAATAAATCATGAACATAACCAGATAATAGTGAATAAGAAAGCATGAATCTCTAATGCACCCCAACCATCCCTAATGTGCCTAATAATTTGAATACCACACCCTACACTAGGGGAGATTCCAACCCCAGACCAGAGGGGGACTTACAACTGACAAGCAGATACCCAACCAATTAATCATATATATATATATATACATATATGGTGATTCATAATATGAAATTTGCTATAGACTTTCAACAGAAAAGGAAAAAATGTGTCATGTAAGATTTAGAGGTCAAGAGAGCTGAAAAATGGAAGACATTATCAATTTCTTACAATGATCTTTGTCCTGAAAGATTTCAGGAAAGATAAGTCTGCGATCTTGTAAAGAACATCAAAGATCTTCTTCTGCAAATTTAAAATAATTAAGAAAAAATGTTAAAAAGATGAAAAAGATATATATATATATATATATATAAGAAGAGAATTGTGTAAATAAAAGCGACTAGGAAAATCACTTGGAAGCTTGAAAGCCCAGCCGGAGCTTCTTGAGCCTTCTCCTTCGTTTTTTCCAGTTCATACTTTGGCTTTGATGCCTTTTCTCTGTAAGACTCTGCAACTTTCTCGTCATTGACTATCAAAATATTATCAAACAAGATTCCATCCTGCATGGTCCATATTTCGATCCCAATGGCAGCAACAGGCTCAAAATCAGGCTTGTCGAGCTCAAAATAACCAGGATTCGGAATCTCTCGGGGTTTCCAGATGCCCTTATAGTTAGGATTATTAATCAATGGAGCATGCCATTTTCCCTTGTAAGCTGGATTCCTCTTCATTGGCTTCCTCCATTCACCACATCCAGGAGCTGTGGCACATTTTGGGTTATCAATCTTCGGTGCCTCCCATTCTCCATCCTCCTCGTCATCCCAGTCCTCTGGTTTTGAAGCTTCAGGGTCATCAACTTCCTCCGGCTCATCATCCAACCATCCTTCAGGTTTAACAGCATCAGCATCCTCTATCTCCATTGGAGCATCTTCATCCCAGTCGTCCGGCTTCCGTGCATCTGAATCATGGATTTTTTCTCTCTCATCCCAGTCCTCAGGCTTCTTGTCATCTGGATCAGGAATAGTTTTTGATGGGACTAAAGCTGGCTCAAAATCATCGGCACTAAGAAAATTGGCCTTCTTTTTTTCCTCCCCATCAATCAAAATTCGTAGGCCATTATTAGGTTCGATAACAGCAGTATAGACATGAGTAAGTTTGTCGTATGGGACGGAGGGAGGATACTTGAGATGGTGCTCGATATACTCCGCGGTTTTCGGGTTTTTGTGCTTAAGAATGAAATGCACCTTGTTGGTAGAACCACACTTGTCAGGTCCAAACATGATGGAGTAAGGAGATTCATTGTTGAAGTCTTTAGGAGCCCATCCAACATCTTGGGGTCTCAGATATTTAAGGTAAGCGCCTCCGCATTCTAGGCCATTCTGGAACCTGGCTTCATATTGTAGAACAATGGTTCCGTCCTTGAGATTGACTGGTTCGTCGAGTTGTTTAACTATGCCATATTTCATCGCTTTCTCACTAACAAGAAGGCCAAAATCTTCATGGCCCTCACTCTTTGAGTGTTTCCACACACCTATTATTACAAAGAAATTGATGAAAGAATTAGCATTCAACTATACAAAAACTTATGATAAACAACAGATAGCTCCTCAAAGAATCAGATTAGCACGTCCCTGCTAAAGAAAATTCAGGCCAAATATAATGGGCAGCAGCTATAAGTTATGTTTCATCAACAAAAAAAGCATTTCTAACAAACCTAGTTAACATATTCCAGAGTAGGAATTAATTAATACTCGTGTGATATCTAGAACTACAAAAATCAAATGACGAGGCTGCGGACCAACAACTTACATCATATGATTATCGCCGTTTTTTGATACCGATGACAGATTATAGTAACACAAATGATTAACAAAAGCCAAATCACCGCGGCTCTTCCAAAAGATTGTTCCATAACTACATACAGTAGAGAAACCAGTAAAATGATTGGTATTGCCATACTGCCCTTTCACTGATTACAAATCTATATTAGCTACCATGTTGTTTGTAATAATTAATACATCAGACAAAGTTTCCATTATCAGCATACTTAAATTTCAGTAAACATACGTGCTGAAAATATATATTCATCATTTCAGCTTACATGGATCAAAAGTAGATTACCACTCACAAAAACATCTTCCATCTTCCATCTAACGGTAAGCTCCACTGAAATAACATAGTTAACATATTCGAGACTAGGAATTAATTATACAGCTATAATATCTACGGGTGCTAAAATCAAATAACAAGGTGGTTGTTCAATAATTGACATGATATGCCAATTGTTGTAGCTTGATACTGATCACAAAGAAAATATTAACACAAACTATAAACAAAGCGAAATCACCGCTACTCTTCCAAAAGATTGTTCCAGAACTACATAAAGTAGAGAAACCTTCAAAATGATCGGCTTTACCATATATATGAGCTACTGCGTTGTTTGTACTAACCGATACATTAGACATAGAATTTTGTTATGTCAAATCAATTTAGATCACAACGACCGTAGAATTTTCATAGGGCTCAGCAAAAATTTCGCTAGGTCTCTATAAATAAGTTGGTCTATGATTTATTTTTTACATGGAAGGAGAAATAACTTTAGAACATAGGAGAAATAAAAATTGGATAAATTACTACATGGTTGATGCCGATCATACCATGCAGTCTTGCTTAACTAGTTGTCAAATGATATTTAGTAGAAATCTCAGGCATAAAGATATGAGTGTGAGAAACAGGGGATTTAGTGTGGTTAGAAGGAAAAAATAAGTGATAAATCTGCCACTAAAGGAGAATTCATTAGCTTTGTATTTTGCAATATATAGAATAGGGACACCCTATTTATAGACAATAGAAAGCTTAGCCATTAACCATGAACCTAGGGACTGACATTAAAAATACATGCCTAAAGGTAAAACAACATCCATGCTTGATATTTAATCCTCTCTCCACTAAAAGCCTCAAATCTATCTAATGGTGATGGGGTGTTTGCACACCATATCCATAACGTTGTATGGATAATATAATAATTTATCTTATATGAAACTTCCATGAACTTATTTTAGCCTCAATAGAAGTTGGAGTTTAGAACTAAAATGAATTTGTAACCTACCTATCTACAATACTTCTTATTAAAAAAAAAAAATTCTGATTTCATATGTGCCTAATTTCTTTTCAGAAAAACCAAATAGTCAGCTCTTGTTGCTTGAGCTAGCTCACTATAATGGATATCCTAAAACCCCACACTAATTTTCAATACTAATCTTGACGTTTATAATTTAATAATTTAGCATATTTTGATGTTTTTTTTTTTTTTCATTTAAGGTGCATCAAATTTATTATCGTGTTGCATGAACATTTGACTTCTGAAAATAAATAAAAATCATATAAGATAATTCAATTGCTCTCTAGACTTTTAGCACAAAAATTATTTATAGTGAATTTTCATAGTATCTAACTAAGTTGATCTAACTTAGTTGATTTTCTAATAGTCGTAATTTTTAAGTGATTATTTCTTTGCCCTCGCCTATAATCTCATTGCATAACTCATAAGTTTGATTCTCCTATAATTATATCAATCTTGAGCATTCCTTTTGTTCTTAGATATCGGCACAAAAATACTTCCTTGGTCTTTCAAGATTTATTTGGTCTTCAATATTCCATTGAAACTATTTGTTTACCAAATAACTTTAGCTCTTAAAATTGTCAAAGCTATAAGGAATAGCATTATTAGAATAAATGCTTTAACTTTATGCATCCTTTCTTAAACTAGGTCAACATTATGTTTTGGAACACTTCATGATATACTTCATGATTTTATATGTTCGCTTTAAAAGAAAAAAATAAATATTTCTTAGATCGCTTGTAAAAAATTCTTCAAAAATAGCATTCTTACCTTTACATAAAGTATTCATCCTTAAATAAGATCACAGTACCTTTGCTTTTAAATCATCAAACTTTATCAAAGTCTTTAGATCTTCTATCTCTTATCTTGTCTATTTTAAAAATCTCACTATTAATACCCAAAATATTACAAAAGGTATCAAAATTAACAACTTTTGTTTTGTTCACTATTAGTGAAATTATAGCGTCCCTGTAATCATTATAAGCCCCAGTAAATCTTGTTCTAATTAATAATAGCTTTAATTTCTTTTTTTGCAGCGTAAAAAAAATTAATTTTTAACTTTCTTATGATGAGGCTTAATGCATCAAAATAAAAGCATAGAGAAAAACTTGGCTAAAAGCAGTTTGTAACTATTTACTAGAAAGATGATAAACAGTTCAGTTTTTAACCATTGACACAGCTAATAACCATAAATCAATAGAAACAGTTCCTAGCTTAAATGACCAAAATCTAGCTTTCATAACATCTATAAGGTGGACAGTTTTTCTTTATTACATAGCGGTGGTATATACTGCCCTTTTAGCGAGATCAGCAATAAATGATACAAGAACTCTTATTGAATGAACCATCAATGAAAATAGCAAGTAGAAAGTTACCCAATCTAAGTCATGAAATCCTATTTGAATGGCTGGATTTGATTAAAAAAATATATTTTTAATATCCACTTGGATTAATGAATTACATGGCCTGCGTGGGGATGATTGCATGGAAATCGTATTTGAAGAGGATCTGAATTTAAATGGAACTTTCATTAGTCTTGAATTTTGAAGTTTAAAGCACTCTCTCTCTCTCTCTCTCTCTCTCTCTCTCTCTCTCTCTCTCTATTTCAGAAAAAAGCTTCCTTCACCCTACAGTAGGCAACAAGAGGTTCAAAGGTAGAGTCCCAGAGATTACTACTTAACAAATCCAAATCAGATGATAAATACTAATCAATGCTTAAATACACACTAATTTGATTCAAATTAAGAACCCATCCTTATATTTGACAAAACCAACTTAAAAAGCCAGAAGACACAAAACGAAGGCCAACTATAAGAGGTATTGACTCAATTAGTGCAACCCAATCCAAGAGGTATTGATCAATTTTGAATGTCCTCCTTAACCCTAAAGACTAATCAACTAAGCTAACCATCTGAAAGTGCAACGAAAGGAAACTCTGATTAAGGGAAAGCAAATCCTCTCAAAAAAATAACACACTCCTAAGATTTCCTAATCCCAAAACGGTGCAGCATTACGAAGAGAATAAACGAAGCTACATTAAGATCAGCATCATAGCAAACTACATAGAAACAAAAACACGCACTAATTCGCAACGGATCCAACAAACACGGATCTGTAAGCAATACCATTATAATCCTCATTAGCAGATACGATCCAGCTCTTCTCAAACGACTCGTCAAACGATTCGTAGAATATCTGAAGCCAAAACTAATTCAATTAGCCCAAAAACTCCATCAAACTCAACCAAAATGAAAACTCCGTCATATGAATCCAAAATTTACCGGATTGGAAGCGCATAACTGAAGCACGATTAGAGTGAAAAATATCTGTAACATGGTTCGCCTCCCTTCTTCCATCATCACACACTCCAGACCCCGTATGCGGGGATAAACACAGAACTGTAAGATCTGGAAGATGAACCCTAGGTCGATCCGGAGTAGGTTGGACGGCCAAGATGAGTCGTTTATAATTGAGCTCGAGAGGGCGATGGGATTCTTCCACGTCCATTGAACCAATGCAATTATGACACGTCATTTAAAATTTATGAGCACAAACCGGCGCCGGTTTGGCGTTCTTCTCCGATTTCTGACCGGCGCAAACGAGCCGTCCGGCCCAGCCAAATATAATGGGTCAACTGGCTGGCCCATCTTTCCCTTTCAAACTCCTTTATAAATAAATTTTAAGACATTCATTTCTTATTATTGGCTGTGTTGAATGCCTTCAAGACTTATGTGATATTTCATCAATAAATTTATCATTTGGTGTAAATCTTGAGATATTACACGAATCTCATGATAACTTTTTAAATAATAAATATTCAAATCTCGATTAAATATTATTCAGAACTAATTTTTAGCAAACTTATAGTCAAACCGACGAGATATGACCAAATGGTACCAAAGTTAGTCAAATATGAGTCAAAACAAACTCAAATCAAGCAATTAAATCTTTCAGTGCATAATTGTATTGTTAATCAGATTTCAAATCAAACATCTCGACAAGACATATCTAACAAGCTCGAAACCACTCACTTATGCCATCACAAAGACACTTAAATGCTCACAATACATCCTCTAATTGATGGAATCTCATCGGGTCATCCAATCAAAATAGTATTTATTCATTTCTTATTTACTCCATAAATAAAGTCTTGCCCCCGCCTATTGAGGGGGGGAGTAAGTCTTGAGCCAGAAGAATACTAAAGCTTGAAGAAGGAGCTGAAGTACAACATCGTTTCTACATCACAAATCAAACATATACCTCTCTCTCCTGCAGCTGCCAATCACATTCAACCACCAACATCTGGACATCGTCAACCACTGTTGGTTGCTATCTACTTATTGCAGTAAAGCTTTATATGAAGTCAAGGCTTGTGTTGCGGAGTGACGATGCACCATGTAAAGCAACAACTGGCGTCATAGAGTCACAAGTCATCCCACGGCAGCAATATTTTATCTTGATCGTTGTCTTAACATCAAAGATATTGTATCAAAGCTCCAACAACTATTCCTCAACGCGACTACTCAAGAACGTGAGGCAACGAGTCTTATATGCACGATAATTGTAACTTGAGAAACTGTGTGTCACTTTCCCGCATGTGGAACAAAGGTCTATATGCAATCACCAACTCACAGTAAAACATTTCAATTGGGCTCGGTCCCATGGCTTTTTCTTTCTTTCTAGGTTTCCCACGCAAATAATTTTGGTGTTTATACTCATCTATGTGATAGATTTTTGTGCAACTCTAAGATGATAATTCATTCATCTACTATTGTGAATTCCTTAGCACGCATCTGTAGGATTATATATTATATGTGAGCTCATACAATCCACGAGAAATTTTGTATTTCAAAAAAATGTGTAGAAGGTAGTAGATGTGTCGTTGAAGATAATACACTGCATCAACACGACAACCATTGCACCAAGATGGTTACAAGTATACCCCCTCTCTTGAAGGTATCAATCTTCGTATAGTTCTTCAAAATACCTGAATGAGAAATCAACCATGAGTCTGGGTGTTTACCAAACTTTTACGATATGAGAACTTTTGGACTAATAGTACATTTGGGAGCATGTATGATGGCTTATTCTTCGTATATATTTTTCTTCATAGAATATTGTCATCATCAATGTGTTTGACACATACATGATGAACTAGATTTTTGGTCAAGAATATTGCACCCAAACTATCCCAGAATATTGTCAAAGACTTGATAAACTCCCAAGTCATCTTATATGCCCAACATGCATGTCACTTTCTTCATCGCCACCATGACTATCATTGTCGGCACTATTTTTGCTTGTGGAGTTGCCCGTTGGAAGCTGTCGGCTGCCGGAATCGAAATCCCGTCACCCGCTTTGGAAAGACGTATATTACGAAGAGAATAAAC